TTGAGGCACAATGAGGTTTTTCACATCCTACCAAGCACAATAATCAATATTCACACATAGCTACTTGCACATTTGCCCCAAGTCTACTGTTCCAATATAGAAATACTTATATATTTATAATATATATTATATATAAATATGTATCTGTATATAGATATTAAAAAGTAAAATTTTAGCATTTTAGAACACGCAGAAGACACCAGAAACATATATAGAAATTCAAGCTGGCACTTCTCCTTCCTCTTATGAAATATCACAGTTATTAACAAATAAATATAAAGAGAGTTTTGAGACAAAAATGTGGTGGTTCTGTCTCAGCTGGAGCAGGACCTACACTGGTGAACCCAGCGAGGCACAGAATTCCCTGGGGAGCAGGAGAGCTCAGCCCTGCTCTGACTCACACTTTGGCCACAGCTTTTCAGCTTCCTCCCGAGGTTTTTCAGGGGGTGGGGAAGGTAAATCAGTCAAGGAATGGTGGAATAAAGCAGAGACAGTAATCTGACACCTCCCAGTCTGTCCTGAGGCCAGGCAGATTTTAGTTCTGTGTTTGGGGGAATATGTAAGATGCACAAGGGTTATTAGATGGTGTCTGAAAAGATGTCACAGGGCAGAGAGAAGCACTGATTTAACACAGTCTGATTTTTTTTCTCCCTCCTCTTTTTTATTTGTTTTGCCATCCTCGTTCCTTTTCCTCCCCAGACTCTTCTCCAGTGAAACAATGGAGTATATGTTCTGGCAGGGAGAGGAGATCCTAATTGATAAAACAAAGAATCTGATTTATATCAACCAAAGCCTTGGAAGGACAGGGAAATATGAAGGCAGCAGGAGCTGTATATTATAATTCCACTGTAACAAATGGGCTAAAGATACTCATAACAGCAAAATACAACCTTCCATCAGAACACCCATCAGGTTTTAATTTGGGTTTATTTATTATTTGGAGTTGCTGTTTTGTCAATAAAAATTACGTTTAATTTTCACATATTTTCCCCTCCTTAGAAACCTCCAGAGTCCTGAACCAGGCAGAGCAGTCAGGTCTCCCAGGGCTGGCTTTGTAATCCGAGCCTGGAGCATTCCTTGGCTTTAGATAGATGCATCCATCCCATACTGCAAACAGTTGGTACGGGCAACATGCAAGTGCAGGCACATCCACCAGGGCAGATCCTTCATGGAAGAGGGAAACTGGTAACATTTACATCTTTTGCAGCCTGCCCTTCACTTCAAGGCACTCGCCTGAATAAACAGCTCGTGAAAAGCAGCAGGATTACGTTCAAAGTTGGGTTCTGAAGCCCGTGAGCATATAAAGATGCCACTGGAGCACTGAAGGAGTCAGCAGCCTGCTTTTATTTTGGCTGTGCTGCTCCATGTGCTTCCAATGTCTCACCACAGGCAAGTCTGCACAACTGACAGGAGAATGTTAAGTTGACATTAAATACTTCGCTTTTCTCGGGGTCTTGGAGTTGTGATTGTTTAATTCCTTGCTGACAGCTTTGAAATCTGTGTCACTGTCTGAAATGGACGCTTTTTATTGTTGAAATTAAATTCTGAATAATGAACAGGGCCAAGTTTTTATGGAGGAAGGAGCTGACTGTTTATATTCCCTCATGAAAGCAGCCTCAGTGCTTTGCACAAAGCAAGGATGAAAGGGTAGACTCAAGCTGTGTTGTAAGTTAATATTGCATTGAGAGGATCACGGGGTAGTTGGGGTTGGAAGGGACTTCTGGAGATCACCCAGTGCAACCCCCCTGCCAAGGGAGGGTCACCTGGAGCAGGTGACACAGGAACACATCCAGAGGGGTTTGGGATGTCTCCAGAGAGAGAGACTCCACGCCCTCCCTAGGTAGCTGTTCCAGGGCTCTGCCACCTCCATGGAAAGAAATTCTTCCTCAAGTTGAGGTGGAAGTTGTTGTGTTTTAGTTTATGGCTGTGGCTCTTTGTCCTGTCACTGGGCACCACTGAACAGAGTCTGGGCACCATCCTCTGATACCCCTTGGAGATATTTGTAAGGATTGACGAGATCCCCTCTCAGTTTTCTCTTCTCCAGCCTACCCAGGCCCAGCTCCTGCAGTCTCTCACCATGACAGAGATGGTCCATCCCCCAGAAGGGAACGGACACGAGATTAAATCAGACTTGGCATTAAAACACCTCATTAAAACATCCTTCAAATTTCCAAGCCAAGCCTTTAGGGCAACCCCCTCCTCCTTACCTGTGCAATGACCTCGGGGTCCATGGGCCGGTGGTTGTTGAAGCTCTTGGACCTCCCTGCTGTGACAGTTTTCCGGATCTGGGGGCTGTCGATCCTGTTCTTCAGCGAAGAGTGTCGGCTGATGGAATTGAGGCTGCCGTGGCCACTGATGGAGCATTTATCTGGAACCTCCTTGGGAAGACTTTGGCTCATAATGGGCTGAGATGAGGGTCTGGAACCGGCTATGGCTCCGGGGGAGGCTGGTTCTGCCAGTGAACTACCTAGTCCATGGCTGTCACTTTGACGGAAGGCTCTTCTGATGCTGCCTGACTCTGGTTTCTTTCTTTGCCTTCAGTCACAAAAGCAAAACAAGTCAATACAAGCAGGTACAAACAACCAGCTGTCATTTTTTTTGAAGATATCCCCCCAAAAACAACACAGAGGACAATGGGAAGAGACATAAAAAGATAACCCAGATTACAAACACGCCCAGGATTTTAGGAGTGGTTGCGATACAGTGAAATTATAAATCGTTCCAGTTCAACACTTCTAACAACGAGGCTGAGTTCTGGCAGCTGGGCACGTTCAGAGCAAAACCAGAAAGCTTGGATGGAACGTGATTAACTTGGTCAAGAGGAAAAGAATCTGTATTTGAAGACAAAAAAAACCCTCTGTGCCTTCAACAGGTTTTGATGATGTGTTTTTATTACATTCGAAGAGCAGAGCTACAATTTTTGACTGGAGGACACAGTATAAGTCTACTAAGCTCCTGGCCCAAGGCATCAAGTTATTATTTTCAGAGATCAGCAAGCAAAGAACCCCAGTGTGGGGTTAATGATCATTTCCAATATTTGCTGGTGGTAAGAGGTGGTTCTTTTTCATGGCTCTGGCAGGACCACAAGGCACTTTTCTATGCAGGGCTACAGATAAACCAAAAGATGATGTCAAATGGATGAACTGCTCCAAAGAATTTAGTTTCTACCCCAGCACCTTGCGGTCTGACAGCACGATTCCTCTCAAATCATAGGAAGGCCAATGCAGCAGAATACTTTATGCCATAGGTCTGAAGCTTGGCATCCATTATACACGGAAGGATCCATTTATATATAGCACCAGCCCCATGAATAACTGCAAGAAAGTGTTAACTCCAGTAGGATTTTGGCATCCAAATAATAATTCAGTGGGTGGCACAACTGTCATTGCGAAACCATCTGATTTAATTTTGCTCAAGTCTGTTCACACATAGGTCAGAAGATTCATTCCTAAAGAAAAAACAACAAAATGAGTCTTATGCTACTGTTGCTAAATATCAGGTTCCCTAGTAAAGGGAAAAAAAAAAACTGGAGTGGACATTACCCAGGCTTCTTAAAAACACTACACACAACACTACCAAAGCCAGCAGATGGTGAAGCTCCAACATAGGTCTGTGATTACACAAATCTCTCCATAACTGGCAGAATGGCTACTTCAGTGGCTCAGACAATAAATATCATAAAGGAAAGCCCAGATCCCAAGCTGATGCAGATTAACATGGCTTCAAAGATATCAGTGGAGCTCTGCTGAATCCCATAACTAAAGACCAGGCCCTCTAGGCCATAAGCAGGTCCAAACCTTTTAAAAGGATGCATTTCTGTTAATGCCTTTATAGACTACATTCTGTTAAATTAACTGAAGGTTAAGACTATCCCCTCCCATCAAACTGTAATTATCACATAATACCTTCACTGCACAATAGAGATGTGGGGGTTTTAATGCTAAGGAAATAATCAGAAAGATAAGTCTGCTCCAGAAAAATGAAATAACAGATCATGAAATTTAGTCTGTTACTGGCTTGATTTTTTCAGCTTTTTTACTATGTTGAGTGTTGGCTAAGGCAACAATTTCTGGTAGAGAAAGTAAGGTTAGAGCAACAGGGGGTTGTGCTGTTCCACTGCAAGCATATGGTTAGTAACCTGAGGTGAGAAGTGCTGGAGAAACTAGAGAGTGTTACAGGCAGTGCCAGATGGTGGGACTTCAGGAATGGCATTTATCACAAAATGGGACACCAGTTTCTGAAGGAATTGTCCCCCCACCCCATCAAACAGAACTTGTTAAATGTGGACAAGACACGACAGATCACGGAACGCAACAACGAATGGGGACGCACGATACAAGATCTCACTCCACCATTCCCCTCCCTTCCTCTGCTTAGCTCTTAAAATAGGGCATATTTGGGAAAACAGGAACAGATGGCACCTTGGGGACAGGGAAGAGCAGCCAGTGGGGTTTTAAATGAGCATTGGCCACACTGGTGACAGAGCTCGGGCAGCAAAACGTGAGTGGGTTAGAAGAGGGGGAAGCAGAGAAGAATGGTGGCAGTGCTGGTTAATGAACCTTTGTCAGGGAAGGAAGGATTTCACTGGGCTCATCACCAAGCTCTTTACAGTTCAGGAAAACAATGCAAGGCTGTTCTTACTTGTTGATGTTTGCAAGGTAAATATCTGCGACGTGCCCCCCGCTCGGGCAGCTGGCACCAGCTCTGGCTGTCACTTTTTCTTCCGGTGGCTCAGAGTTTATTTCTATTTCAGACTTCGGGCTGGACCTTTCTGAGATTCCATCCTCACTAGGAAGGAGGAGGGAAGCACATCACAACCAGAACAGGACCAACAGCACTGAATTTCAAATGCAGCACTGTGCATGAAAACACACACACGGGCCAGCAGCACAGTGCTGGTGTCTTTCTCTTAAGAATCATCTTTGAAATCATAGAATGGTTTTCTGGAAGGGATCTTCAAGATTATCCAGTTCCACTCCCCCTGCCATGGGCAGGGATACCTTCCACTAGCCCAGGTTGCTCCAAGCCCTGTCCAACCTGGCCTTGGACACTTCCAGGGATGGGGCAGCCACAGCTTCTCTGGGCAACCTGTGCCAGGGCCTCCCCACCCTCACAGGGAACAATTTTCTCCTGATATCCAACCTAAACCTGCCCTCCTGCAGCTTAAGGCCATTCCCCCTTGAAAAAATCCCCCTCCAGCCTGAGAGCCTGACTCCTGTGAGCAACCTGCAGATCCCAGCTCTGCATCTTTCAGAGGCACCAGAACCATTCTGACACCTCCATACCCGTGGGCAGCGACACCTCCCCGAGCTCTGCCCGCTCCCCTTCCCGCAGGGGAGGCTGAAGGAGGAACTGCCCCCACCTGGTGCCAACACCTTGGCACAAACACTCCCCTCCACACCCGAGTTTTTGGCAAGGCCAGGGTGGCACATACGTGTCCTGGACGACGATGTACTGGTGGGGGATGAGGCCGTCGATCCCGTTGTGCCGTCCCTCCCACCAGTCGTCCGAGGCCCGCTGGTAGAGCAGGAGGGAGGCTCCTTTCTTGAAGGACAGCTCTCGTGCTGTCCTGCCAAGGTAGTCAAACTTTGCTATTGCTTCTATGGGCTCACACTCTAAGGAGACAGAAGGGAACAAACAACAATTCACTAAACATTTGGGTTTATTAAGTATCAGCTGTTTAAACTCGTAGGCGAGGGCATGAAGAGGATGAAGTGTTGCTGCTTAAGGCTGCAGTGTTTTGAAGCAGCAAAATTCAGAGGGGAACTCCCCTAAAACGTGTGGACTTTGCACTTTTAGCATTTGCCTAATCTCTGCATCCATGTTTTCCAAGTCATAAACCCACTCACAGCGATTCAAGCCTACATTGCCATGGAAGTGGCAATGGTAAAATTAGTGTCTCCTCGAACCAAAAAGCATTTCAAAGCTGGGTAGCAACCAGGTGTGTTCCAGACAACAATCTGCCTATGGTACACTTCCTTCAAGGCAGCTAAGCTGAACCTCCCAGGCAGGCAGGAGTTGTTATTAGCATTTGGGGAGGGAAACATCCTCTCATTCCAAGCTGCTTCAGAAATAAAGGGTCTATTCAGAGGGAAATCTCCGCTGCCTGCGAGGTTCACCTGACCCAGGAGACCGGATTCTGGCACCGTGGGAGGCCATGCTATTCATCCAACTGTCATGGAAGCTCAGGAAAACATCCAGGGCCTCCACTGCTGTGCTTTGTGCAGTGATGGGGAGGGTGAGCTGCTTCCCAGCTCCGTCCAGCTGGGATGCTCCGTGTCCGCCGAGCACGGAGGGATCACGCCTGGAGCTGCCCAACGTGCTCCAAACCTGCCTGCAAAGCTCACAGAGGAGCTCCAGCCATGCCCTGTCTGCAACCAGCCACTAATCCAGGTCCCTGCAGGACTCTGATATTATACAGAGGGACAATAAGGGCATTTAGACACTCAGGAAGATCAATATGAAATTCATGCGGATTATTTTTAAGACTTTGAAATTTTGACACTGGTTGAGTCTAAATATATATTAAGCCAGCTCCCAATTCTAGGCAGGAATCAGGGGAATGGGGATGAGCTCAACCACACAGCCCCAGTGGACTTGCTTCATTACTTTAAAGGAGCTTTAGCACAGCCAAGCAGTCCATGGAAATTTGAGTTCTTTCCTGGAGAAAAAGAGTTGTGCTTCCTCTTCCTGGACAAGGAAAGATCCACTATTCCATACAGAGATCTCCCCTGCATCACAGGAAGCTTCTACAGTGCAAGAGTCAGACAAATAACACTGGAAGGCCAAACATGAGCCACAGGTTTTGCAGTTATTCCTTGGGAGAGCTCAAGAATTGGGTCTCTATGTCTGTTCACAGGCAGGCAAGGTTTGATAAAATAAATGGTGAATATGTGGCTGAAGCTCATCAACCAAGCTGAGGGAGCAGAGCAGAAGCATCTCATCCCAAAAAGCCCCACCAGCATCTGAGTTACCCAGCACAAAGAGACCAAGGACTGAGGGCAAATGGCAACAAGATCAGTCAGATCCACCCCCCAACAATAATTCCTCCACTACTGAACCCAACAGCTCAGAATTCTCCCAACCACACATTTCAGGTAAGCCTGTGGGTCAGCCTCACACAAAATCCCATTATCAGCCCTCAGCAACCAGGCAGGGATTTGGAAGGCTGGGAAAAGCCTGGCCCAGCTCTCAGCTGCCCAAAGCACGTGGTGAGCCCTGTTTGGCTCCTTCTTTCCTCTTGCTTGTTTTGCCTCTGGAGCCAGTTTCTTCCTAACACTAAAAACCCCAATTATGCTGCTTTCTGGTGTCCCCCTGCATTTAGGAAAGGGGTGGGAGTGTGGTTTGGTACATTCCATCTGTTTCATTAGGAAGTGTTTATTGTTCCAGATGAGAGCGGCACTCAGGTTTCTTATGTTTCCAATTTGCTTTTTAGGACTCTGGCTCTTCTCCAGAGAACTGATTTTAGACTTTAATTTCCAGTAGCTTTTTTCCTACTACACTTTCAGACAAGAAAGCTGTGTGAATAAAGAGCAATAAGGCTAAGCCAAACAATTCCCCCTGCCAGGCTGAGAGCCTGGGCAGGAAAGCAGCAGATTCAAATGTTTCCACTCATATGTGTAATTTAACAAACATATAATCTGCTTGTTTTTCAGCATTTCTGACCTCTTATACCTGTCTCAAACCAGAGTGTCCTCTCACTGGTACAGTGAGGCTGTAGAACAGCTCGGATGCTCTTCAAAACAAGACCTCTTCCCCCCCACCCCAAAATTCCTTCCTTCAGTGAGGGTGTCTGGGATGACAGCTTTGCTTTGGGAAGATTAGTGCCAAGCTCACAAAGAGCTTAAGAAGCAAGTGCTAAAGAATCTAAAGACTGAAAGAGGGAGAAAAACCCAGGAACACCCATCCCAGAGTCCTGGTGCTGTACCTGCACTGCTGACAGGTATGAGCAAGGTGTGACTCTGCACAGCTCAGTTAGGACATGAGATTCCTCACTTAACCAGACCCTGCAGCTCCCTCAAAGAGATACAGCCCCAGCTCCCTCCTCTGCTTCAGTGCCAAAGGCTCCCTCCCAAATGCTTCCTATGGAATATTCCATGTAGGATGCAGAACTCCATCCAAAACACCTCCCAGTTTTACCTTGCTCGGGGCCCCCACGCGATCGAGTTCCAGAGGCTGCAGAACAGTGTCCTTCTCTCATCTCTAACTGCTCATTTCTCACTATTGTCCCCCCTTCAGTCACAGAAGAGACCTAAAAACCCCCTCCAGAAACAGCCCCAGTGCCCACCCCAGTGTGGGAGCCTGCAGGCTTTAGTCCCAGGCTGTATGCAGATGTGGGATGAGTTGGCCTGTCCTTCCTCACAGCTATTAAATTGCTCTTTCTTAGATACAAACTCCAAAAGGACACATTTTCATGCATTTTTAAGAGCTAACACTTGTCAGACAGAACACTCTGTTCAAGACAGAGAGTGAGCTCGTGTTTCATTCCCACAGGCTTTGTGCTCCCTCCCAACAACCTTGGTGAGGAATCACTGTGCCAGTGCTTGACCATGCTGAGGGAGAACTGATTTCCCAGCATTTCTAAACATCCTTTACTTCACCACTGGTGTGTGAACACCAGAGAATCCCAGGATCACTTAGGCTGGAAAAGACCTTTAAGATCACCGAGCCATGAAACCAGTGGGAGCCCAGGGATGCCTTGGGAAGGGTTTGTTGGGCAACTGCTGAAGCAGAGAGGCAGCACAGGAGCACCTGGCAGGGCTGCTGAGCAAATTCCTGACCAGCTCAAAACAGGATGACACCTGATTTTAAGGGAATGGTAACTATTTCCCACCTTTACAACTGAGGTCACAAGTAAAACCATCACAGAACTCGCACAGACAATTGCAAAGGGTCTAAATGCAAGAACAAAATCATACTGTTCAGTATTCCAGGCATCATTGTTTCACACCAGTAATTTAATCTTTCCTCTGCTCTGGATGGGGCTCACAGGATGTTCCCTGTCACAGGAGGAGGCTTGGGAAGTATTAACAACAGACACTCACAACTGCAGTGTCACCTTCTCCTTAGGAAATACTGTGAAATTCTCTCCTCTTTTCACTGATCAGACCAGAAATGTCACAGAGGTCCCCAAGGAAACCCAAAAATTATCAATGAGAGAGGCCCTCAGGACTCCCCACCCTAAAACCTGGCTGTGAGTGGAAGACAAACAGGTTTTGAATTTGTTTTGCTCCCTTCCTTACAGCAGAACCACTGGGGTTCAGAGCACTCAGAACCCCCTGCCAGAGCTCCCAAAAGGGGAAATGCCTGGTACAGGCAGAGGGAGTGGGAGAGCATGATGGAACACATCCAGCCTTTGGCTCTGTGCTTCCACCTTGACTTCCAAATCCAAGCTTGGAGTGTGCCCAGGCCTGCTGCTAAGAAGAGACAACCCCTGAGAAGAAGGGATGCTTTCAAAACACTCAGGTAACTTCTACAGCTCCCTGTCCATCCTACACCTTTTTACTCCTTGGCCCCAAATGCTGCCAATGTGATGTTTCGAGCGACTGTTCTGATTCAAACTCCACTTTGGAGCTAACTTTAAACCTCAATTCCAAGGCACTTCCCTCCCTGCCTCCCCCAGGGCTGGCTGCACCAGTTATCCCAGCAGCTCAGAGGCTTTGCATACCATCATCACTGGTGTGGTGCTCGGCCGTGACGTCCTGCACCGAGTCTTCTGTGGAGGCTCTCTCCCCATGGGGACTCTCACTGCAACACAAGGAAACAGGGACAGTGCTTTAGACTGATGGAAACTGAGTTTCCTCATCACAACCACCAGATATAACTGGGAACATCCACGTTGGGAGTCAATCTTTAGGCTCCACTGCGACGCTCTGCGGTGCATCTTGCACGTGCTGAAGTCAGTGTGTCTGAAAATCAAGCTGAATTCTTATTTGATCAACCAACCCAAGCATCCAGGTTACCCTTCTCGTGTGCTGTCAGCAGTCCAACTTCAACTCTTACAACCTGGACCTCTGGAGAGGCTGAGCAGTCAGGCAGCAGGGGCAAGCTGGGTCCAGCTCCTCTCTGCCATGCCAGGATTATTCCCTCAGCTCTGTTCTCCACTGCTCTAATTAGCTCATTAGATGGCTGATGAGAAAGCTGCCACTTCCTGGGGGAAATCATTTCTCGATTCATAATGATATTTCCAGGTCTGTGTTTGTCATCTCCCTCCATCCCTTTTATCACCATTTTAAATTGTTCCACTCATTTCACTGAACAACTCCCGTGGCCTGATTAATTGCCTGTAAATAAAGATTCCAGAGCACCTAAACCACCAAGAGGACTCATTTATGTTTGGCAAGAAGAAAAGCTTTGGAAGGATCAATAGACAACAAGTGGCAACCAAAGGTTATGTTTTTGTAAGAAGCTGCACGAGCAGTTCCCTCTGGACAGGAGCAGAAAGGAAGCTGGAAGAGGATCCATTGCCTCTCCCAAGCAGCTCTGTGGAGCTGCTGCCAGCTGGCAGCCCTGCCTGCCTGCCCTGCCTGCTCCTCTCAGGAGGAAAAAAAGGGATAAAAAAAATAGTGCTTGCTCTTCATCTTAGCAGACTCTGTTGCTAAAGAAAATTCGTTTGCTGCCCTCTCACAGTGTAACTCCTAAAAGGTGATTTTTAATTCTCCTCACGTAGGAATAACTTCATCCCTCATTTTGGTCTTGCTGTGGTTAAAATAAGTGACTGTGGATGTGCAGTGCTCTCCCCCTGGCAATCCCCCTTCTGCACTCTTTTAAAAAGAGGAGAAAAACAGAAAAAGGAGAAGGGGTGAAGTGTTTGGAGTAATTCTGGTGTCTCGTTATGCTTAATCCACAGGACACCAAGCTGTCCAACATCTCCTGAGCCAGCACCTCTGGAATCAACCTTTCCCATCCTTTGCAAAGCCTTTGTGCTACTTCATAAAGTTTAGAGAAGAATCTGCAGCCAAATGGAGGCCCCAGGAGGAAGGAAGGCAGCACTGAGGGCTAAGGTTTCACACAGACTCTGAAGTCATGTCGCACACAGCTCCAAACACTGCACAAAGGCCACATGCCTCCTCCTATCCATGCCTCCAGCAGCATTTTCCACCAAAAAACCCATCCTTACTGCTGACTCTGAGGTGAGAGCCCCGGGATGCTGCAGTGGGAAGCACTGGGCTTCACCCTGAGGGCTCCAAAAGTGAGAGCAACAAATGCTGGCAGAGGAACACTGTGAGAGTCGAGTCACTTGGGGCAGTGGAGGGGCAGCAACAATCTCTGCTCCCTGTGAGCAGGGACAGGACTTGGAGCTGTGTCTGAGCAGGGTCAGGTTGGATCTCAGGGAAAGGTTCTTCCCCCAGAGGGTGGTTGGGCACTGACCAGGCTCCCCAGGGCAGTGGGCACAGCCCCAAGGCTGCCAGAGCTCCAGGAGGGTTTGGACAACGCTCTCAGGGACAGGGTGGGATTTTGGGGTGTCCTGTGCAGGGCCAGGGGTTGGACTCAATGATCCCTGCGGGTCCCTCCCAACTCAGGATATTCCATGATTCATCCACACTCTATCTCCTTCCCTGCCATTCCCACGGCCTCACTTGTGGGTCTCCTGGACTCTCCCTGGGCAGTCTCAGACAGACAGACAGACAGATGCATCACGGCCCAGGCTTGACTCACAGGCAGGATTTCAAAGCTGATGACAAACTCTGAACCTTGCCCTACCCTGCTCTGCCCAGGGGAAGCTGTTCCACAGCTCTGCCAACTCCAGGCGAGGGTGCAGGTCTGGAGCCCAGAGCAGGGGCCGTGGTGCTGAGCCCCAGCAACTCCACACCAAAACACCTCCTGGGAGCTCCCAGAGGGCTTGACCCATGAAGTGGCACCAGGATACCCCAGCTACAGCAGGAATCAGCTGAACCCCAAGGATTCCCTCTGCTGCCTGCACAGTGAGGAGCCCACGGGCAACAAAGAACAACTCTGGAAATACCAGGACTATGAGAAAGCTGAAATGGGAACCAGATGCTTCTTCCTGGCTTCCAGCAGCCTCCCCTGCTTGCTTCTCCCCTTTCTCTGCTTAACAGGGTCCCAGGTCAGGGTGCTTAGGAAGGGCAAGGAAGGAAAACCAAACGCTTTCCTAAAGCTGATATCACCTTCCAGGCCATTGTGCCTCCCCCACACTCCTGTGCAGTGACACCCAAACTGAGGGTACTCAACACTGCACAGTTTTATTCCCTCCTGTCAAAGTTGATGTCTTTCCTCAAGGTCATAAATATTACTAAGTTGGGTTGTTTTTTTTTCCCCTCCCTTACAATTCTTTCGCATGTAACATCAGCTAAAAGCATCAGAGCGAAGGGTAAAATTAAAGAGAATTTCCAAAAGGTTTTGGCAAGTCTTCTGCACACAGCAGTTAGTTGAGAGGAGCCTCTCCTTGCCACACGTACAAGGAGTGAGCTGATAGCTGCAGCTACTCTGAAACAAGCCAGGGGAACAAGGCTTGCTCTGTCACCACAGTGACTTCATTAAAAAAAGTATTTATTTTAGCACACGAAAATAATCATTTGCATTCCTGGGGCATCGAAGGAGAGAAGGAGCTGGGGCAGGGGGGGGAAAGAAGCAGGACACAATTTAACATTCCTCATCTTCAGAGGGAGAGATCAGCTTGGCCAGTAGGAAAGAAAACACCTCCTTTCCTTCCCCCACTCCCCAACCTTCCACCCCAGATGACAGGAGCCGCTCTGCCTGAATTGCTTCCAGATGTGGCTTCAGCCTGAGCGCGAGGCCGGGCCTCTGGAGCTTTTGGGCTGCATGGAAATGGTGATTTTGCATTCCTGCCTCTCTCCTCCCCCACCAAGCCCTGAAAATTATACCAGTGCCACAGCCTTCGAGGTTCAGCTGCCAGTGACCCCCGGGTCTGAAGGAAAGGCAGAAAGGAAAGGCAAAAGCAGGAGGGAATAAAAAAAAAAAAAAGAAAAAATAAGGGGGGAAAAAAACAAACAGCAACTAAAAAAGAGATTGATTTTGGCAGCTACCAAACCAGAATAGCCAAGAAAATCCCTACACAACCTTGCCCTTCAAGATAAGTGAGCTGGGTTTGACAACTGAATAGCTACTTTATACCAGCTTATTTCTTTTGAGTGGATGGCTCTCCAGAGATACCAGAGCCATCTTCTCTTCCATAAAACAGATTTTTGAAAGGCTGGGCCAGATGCTCCAATCCTGAATTAGAGGAGGCAGAACTCATGACAGTAACATGCTAATCCACAGATAAACATCCACCCATTCATCTCCTCCTCAGTGGTACCCATCATACCAGTAATCCTCTGTGCTTCCACCTCTGCTATAGACTGGACCCTCCAGCTCCCTTGGGCCTGGGAAGATGTTCTCATGTTGGATGATGATGGTTTTGATCAATTCATTGACATGAGCCTGGCAAGAGACTTGGTCGTGACCTTCAGGCACTGACATCAGCGTTGGCCCAAAGCAGATGGCTAAATTGTAGGGATCCATCATGTTTTCTTCACTGAACTGAGATAAACTGCAAAAGAAAACACAAGTGGGAAGGAGGGTGAACAGCAGAAAACATCATCATCCTCCTCCTCTGCTGCAGAACACACAGCTGAGCTCAGAAGGTTTGCTTTGGGCTTTCTGCTCTCTAAAGCTGATGAGCTTTAGCTGATTCAGGGACATGAATGCCCTGGATCCAGGTAAAAAATGAGATACTGATGGCATTTACAGAGAAATTAAATAGAAACCACAAGGGAGCTTGAAAGCTCAAGACTATGTGAAAAGGACTGAGTGCTGACTTTATAAGGGCAGCACATTAATCTGTCTTTATTCCTTTATTATTGCTGTTCTGAGCCCCAACACTCAATACCAGAGCTACAGATCCCCTCTGCCATGGATGTAAATGGAAAGAGAGTAGGTTCAGATTGGATATTGGGAAGAAATTGTTCCCTGTGAGGGTGGGGAGGCCCTGGCACAGGTTGCCCAGAGAAGCTGTGGCTGCCCCATCCCTGGAACTGCCCAAGACCAAGGTTGGACGGGGCTTGGAGCAACCTGGGCTAGTGGAAGGTGTCCCTGCCCGTGGCTTTAAGGTCCCCTCCAACCCAAACCATTCTGTGATTCCATGATCTTGAGTCCCCACCCCTGGAGGGATTTAAAAGCCGTGGGGATGTGGCCCTTGGGGACACGGGTCAGTGATGGCCTTGGCAGTGCCAAGGGGGAATGGTTGGACTCCACAACCTTTAAGGTCTTCTCCAACCTCAGTGGTTCTGTGTTTACAGCAGGTCCTGCAGCAGAGCCCTGGTGCTCCCAAGGACACTCACTGGTTGAGGAATGCAAAGAGGTATCTCATCACAATCAGGGTGGTCTTGGGCAGGTTCAGCAGCACCTTCCGCACGTGCAGAGCTCTCTCCTGTAAATTATCCATTGCTGAAAGGAAGAAAGAGCACCAGAGTCATCATCCCACCAAACCCACCACCTGCCACTGGGTCCAGTGCACTGTGATGGTTCCCTTGGGCAGCAGAGCAGCAGCAGGAGGAAGGAATTTTGCCCATTTTTCAGGATGCTCCAGCGCTGCCTGGCACGGGAACGCAAAGGCTGCAGAACCTGCTGGCAAAGCCTTTGACAGTGAAGGTCCCTGAGCACGTGAAACTTCACTGCAAGTTCCTTCCCAGCGTGGGAGCTCTGGATGTCATCTGTTCCAATAGTTCTGGCACAATGGCTCCTTCAAGTCTTTGCTTTAGAAAGGTGGGTGTTTAAAAAAGAAACTGTGTAATGCTCAGAAGGAAAATTAACATAGTTAAAGGGTGAGGCAAAAGGCTCTGTGTGCAGCAGCCTGCTGAGAAATAAGTGGGCAGCATAAATCATCTGAGAAGGGAGAAGTTATTTGGAAGCGGGTTTTACTTTTTCCCCCCATAATGTGAATTCAACCCTGCAAATGCATTTCTCAGGAGCAGAGAACCACGAGCCATATCAGCAGCAGTTATCTTCTGCTCCACTTCAAAGGTTGCCACCACAAGGGCCATTCCTCTGCTTGGACAATAGAATCATTCTTCAATTTTTCTGGAGGACGTGGCAAGGGCCAGGCTGTTTCAGATGAGGTTGTTTCACACAGGAAAAAACCACAAACAACTCTCTGCCTACCAGAAGCACCTTTAGAAACCACCAAGGATGTTAAAAGCTCGGCTGTGACCGCCCTGATGATTGATATTCTCTAACAGGAGTCAGAAGATGGTCCCTCGTGGTTAGGAAGCTAAAAGGAATATAAGTGGTACCTTGTCAGCTAAGGAGAGCACACAGAGCATGGCAGCACATCCAGGGAAAGCAGACAAGGCTGCTGGTGATCCCTGCCTCTGACAGGGCCTTTCTGACATCTCCTGGCGACACGTCTTAGAGATCATTTTACAGGAGTGAAGCTTTTTGCTTTATTCTGTTTCAAAAGAATCCCGTCACAAAGCCACTGCCTCACAAAAACCCATCACACAGACCTTCAAATCTGCTCATTTCCATCTCCTTGTTCATTCAGATCAGAGCAAGGATGGCTGTGACCAGGTAACTGCCCAGGCTGCCTAACAGAGGATGCCAGTGCAACAACCAAAGTAACCACAAACCCCTTATCCTGGAATCAGGAAAAAAAAGGGGAAGGGAAGAAAGAAAAGTGGGATATCAGAAAAAAATCAGCCCTATTTCTTTTCAGATCTTCATATACTTACTGACACAGGCAATCAGATCATGAAAGATATCCTTGGGGAAGAGTGGGTGCTCCAGCCCTCGAAAATAGAGCTTCAGGACTCCTGCTATTGAATCCATGTCGTGGTCATTCTGGTCCCCAGCCAAGGGATCTTCCCCTTCGTGACAAGCAAAGAAAAGCAGGCAAGAAAAAAAAAAATCAGAATACTGGAGAAAAGTATCAGAATACTGGAAGGATGCACCTCTGCAGGAGAAAAGGATTTATGTTAATCCCACCTACAACCAGAGCGAGGCAGAGAGGTGGGAAGCTCTGACAGCAATCCCAGGAGACCTGGGGCAGCTTCTCTCAGCCAGATTTCAGTGTGGCACCAGAGGTCCTGGAGCAATAGTGACACTCCAGGGATTTTGGAAGGGTGGGAACATCACAGACCCGCCAGGGAGGTGAAATGTTCCACGAGGCAAACTCCCAGCTGCAGCTCAGGTGGATGCAGGGGATGCACAAGAAGCACCCCAGCCCTGGCTCAGCAGGATGCAGACGTGGGGAACTGGGGTGGGAACATTTCTGGGATAATTTGTTGCTGCAGAGATGCCACAGTTTGTCTGTATTACCAAAGGAAAGATGCCCACTTAAGGAGTTGTCCCCTAGGGAAAACTCCCTATCAGACATAATTAGATTTAATGATGGGGCAATCCTCAAATTGAAGCTATATATATCCATTATGTGACTGAAATTACCAAAGCTTGCCTATTATCTTAATAACACACGGGATAATAAATGGGCCACTCCAAACTGGAGCATTATCCCTGATATTAACTGCCACCAAGGGCTCTGGATGAAGTAATAAAATGCAGGAATCTTATTGTTAACTTTGGCAGTTCTGTATATCATTGGCTTTACAGAGACAAGTGAGAGGAACTAAAAAAAAAAAAAAAATCCCCTTTTTACTTCTGCATGTCAGTGCTGGAACAAGTGGTTATTTGGTTATTTTCCCAAGCTGACTGGTATTTCTTTATATAAAAAAGGGTCTGATTCTGATATCAAGCCTTTTCCTTGCTATGACACACATTTCTGCTTCCTCTGCTCTCGAGGATTTTAATCCATGGAGGTGAGGACAGGTGACATCACACACCACATCTCACAAATGTTGTTCATTGAACATCTCTCTTCCCAAAAGCAGAATAAACCTGCAACGCTTAATTAATTACTGCTTGTCTCTTCCACCAGCAAGCACAGGAACACACTGAGTCTGTTCTTTCAGAGTGATGCATTCGGGGGATTAACACAAGGCCTGTTGTTCCCAGTGACCCAGGCAGGACTGGGGAGATGAGCTGCAGGAACTGCCTGAAAAGCAGCTCTTCTGAACCTGCTCTGCCAGGGAGAACAGCCCAGCAAGGAGCTGATGAGTCAGGAGGCTCCCAACTGCTCTCTGCCTTTGTAAGGAATGGCTCTTTCCCACAGAAAATCGGATCTATTAAAAGCGATTTCAAATTAATGGCGCCTCGAAATTTATTCTCTCCCTCGCTGATATTTAAAATAAATGTGGCCAAGCTGTGCCTCAACAACGTGGAAAACACAAAATTTCATCCTCTAGCAGCCAATCTGTTCACAAAGGGCTGGGGGGAGAGGGGAGGAAATTGCAGTTACACCTAATAATGAAATTCTCCTCGTCCTTTAGTGTTACAAACAATCAATAAGCTATCAGACATGAGAGAAGATTGAATTCAGAATATTTATTATACAGACACTCTACAAGGTACAAAGCATAAAACCAAACAACTGAGAATTCAAGGTTAATGAGCACTAGGGAAGCGTTTGGGAGGCTCACTTCGAAAATACAAAAAATAAAGGGATAAAAGAGAGCAAGTCGCCTTCAAAACAGGCCATTTCAGGGCATTTAAACAAATTTAAACAAACATACATTTGGCAATAGTTTCTGAGATACTTCCTTACCTCTCTCAAATGCATTTTTTATGTCGTTCACTTCAACTTGTGACCCAGACACCCGGAATATTCCTTCATGCTGCAAACCTGTAAGACAGCAAGAGATGCTGATAACAACAAGATAAGATAGATTAGACAAGGTGGCACCTTCAGCAGCTACAGCTCATACAATAAAGGAAAGATAAAAACACAGGCAGAAGGATGCTGATTTAAAAGCCACTTCTCCCTTCTGTCCAGGCATGCACAGAATATGTAAAACCAGAACTCAGCACAGACAGAGCAAATATTAACCCTTCTTCCTAAACCACCGCAGTAACTGGGCTATAACAACCATGTTATCTTTTATCCTGGGGGGATCCCCAAAGGATTTTACAACCCAGAGAAAGTCATAAACTAATGGTGTATCAGCCAGGAGTAAAATATGGCCAGTGCCACGAGCACGATGTTTATTTTGCAGGAGCGAGGCCCGGAGCAAATCAGCCACTTGAAACGGAAGCATTTAATTACTCCCAGCATGACCCACGGGCTTAGGACAGGCTTAAAGACATTCCTGCTAAAAAGTGAGCATTAGGAATGTCATTATTTTGTCAAGTAGATGGGATGTTCCAATACACTCCCATCAAAACAGTTTTGTTGGTACGTGTGAGACGAGCAACAATTGCCACAAATGAACTCATGAGCACGGGAAAGCAGCTCTCGTTCCCTCCAGCCTTTCCACTGTGGACTTTCTGAAACCAGGAATGCTGTAATGTCTTTGTTTTACTTATAACAGAATCATGGAATATCCTGAGCTGGAAGGGACCTACAGGGATCATCCAGTCCAGCTCCTGGCCCTGCACAGGACACCCCAAAATCCCACCCTGTCCCTGAGAGTGTTGTCCAAACACTCCTGGAGCTGTGGCAGCCTTGGGGTTGTGCCCACTGCCCTGGGGAGCCTGGTCAGTGCCCAAACACCCTCTGGGGGAAGAAGAACCTTATCCTGAGATCCAACCTAACCCTGTTCTGGCACAGCTCCAGCCCTTCCCTGGGTCCTGGCCCTGCTCACAGAGAGCAGAGATCAGAGCTGCAACCCCTGATGAGTCTCCCCTCAGTCTCCTCTTCTCCAGCTGAACAAGCCAAGGGACCTCAGCCACTCCTCCTATGGCCCCTCCAGACCCTTTCCCATCACACATATCCATAATAATGGCCATCAATAATAAACTCTCCTGGATGCACCTGTGGCCTCTCCCTCCCCACCCCCCGAGGGGTTTTATCCCACTGCAGTGTGTGGCTTACCACAGCTACAGAGGGAAGAAACAATTCCCAGCGTGGAGAGAAAAAAAAAAAAGAATGAAAACCACATTCATCCCACACCTCCACAGCCAAACACTTGGAAATGTCAGGCCACCTCCAACAAATCCATCCCTGCGTGTGAGTGCGTCAGTTCTGCTGCCTCACGTGGCTTTGCTGTGTAAAACACATTCCTTCTAATTCCAAACTGTGCCTCACACCATGGCCTGACATTCTGTGCACAAATCCATCGAGTCTCTTGGAAAACCCAAGCTAACCCAGCGATATGAGTCTGAAAAGTGTCATCTCCCTGATTTATCCTGCCTCAGTTCCCCCTGCAACGTGGTTTCAATGATTTTTTTTTTTCCCACCAAATATCCAGGTATGGCCTTAAAGAAGGATTACAGCACTTGGGATGATCTTCCAAGTGATGATGAGAATGGGACTCTAGATTATAGTTTCTAAAATGGTGATGAAACAAGGGAAAACTGAAACAGGACCTGCTACCTGGCCCTGCATCTTGGGTAATGAAGATAAATTCGACCCCTTTCTACATCTGTTAATTAACAGCTGCTCCACACACTACTAACAAATGATATCAATTAAAAATGAAAACAAATTACAAGAAATGTATAGCATTCAAGGCTGTGAAAGTTAACCTTCAAAACAGGCATAAATCATCTCGCTGTGGCAGTAAGTGGGCAATTAATTCCCCACTTGACCTCCTACATTCAAATACTCAGAGTATTCCTCCCCCTCTTGGGAAGGGGATGATTGTTGTTGGTGAAGGCCACACTTCAGGGCTCAAAGGGAGGTGAGTGGAGGTGAGGAATGAGTGGTATCTATGGATGGGAACCTTATTTTGTAAGGAATAAAGGGATATTGTGGGAAGAACAACATTTGCAAGGTCAGTTATTTAGAGAAGTGATTACACACATAATAACCAGCAATGCAGCCAGAAAGAGCCATTTTCCTCATGTTGCAATCTCTGGGATTGCTCTGCACAAGCAGCATGTCCTGAGCTGCTCTGAACATTTTTTATAAGGCTTCTACATCCCTTCATTTTATAGGAATGTCCCAGGACACCTTCAGTGCCCCCAAACTCACCGTGCCTGCTGATGAATCGGATGCAGCTCTCCACAACCAAGGGAATGGCTTGGGAGGAATCCTGCCCAAAGAGACATTTAAAGAGCAGTCAGAATGGAGAGATAGTAAAAGTGAAGAGGAAAATAAAAAATAAGAAAGGTTTGACTCTGCACACCAACACCACAACTGGCTCTCTTTTATATGATTTCCAAGATCCTAAAAACTACAAATTCGCACCCCAAGACAGGCTGTGTGAACTGAAATGCCAAGCCAAATTTTAACTTCACAGTATCAACAAGAGATAATTCTGAATTTTGCCTATCTCAAAGAAACACATTTGAGCTCATTGGGTACCAAAAAGCAACAGATTATCCCCACTGCCAGGGACACAAAGCCTGCCCGTGTAAGTCTTTATTACATAAAGGCACAACAAGTGAGCAGTTACAGATTTAATGGCATTGCAGTGGGATTCCAGGGAAAATAAAGGGAATGGGGACAAAGAGACAACAGCACGAATCCCATAAACCAGGGCTGTCCAAACAGCTCAGGGCTGTTTGGTGGTTTTGGTTCCAGAATGGGGAGTAAAATTAATTTAATATTTTATCAGGGAAAATGAACGAGGCTTTGAGTGATTTCAGCCACTGAACGAGCAGACACCACTTGGACAAGGCTGAAAAGGTCCATGGAAGAGAAGGAGGGATGAAAACATTTGTTTTCCACCAACCCCCCCCCCCCAGCCCTGCTTCGTTAGTGAAGGAAACCTTAATTACCTGCTTCCTCACGGTGGAGCTGCGCCTGCCACTGATGGGGCAGAACCAGCCAGGGGGGTGCAGGAGGAAAAAACAGAACACAAGAGTCAGGATAATCAGAACACAAGAGTCAGGATAATCCCCCCCATCACCAGCTCATTCCTTTCGCATTCCCAACCACCCGCCTCTGGGAGCAGGGAAGGAGCCAGATATCCAAGTCAATCACAATGACGAGGGTCTCGTTGGATTTATGGAACTCCAGGAAGATTTTAAGCGACTTTAAATCACTAAAAAAACCCGAAGCAGCCGCCAGGGAGCTCCGACAAAAGATTGCCCCTGACGTTTTAATTCCGACCCCGCGGAATTCCGCGGCACGAGAGCTCCTCGGAGAAGATGAAGTTTGATATAAATTGCACTGAGCTGCCCCCTGGAAGAGCAGGTGGGAGCAGCCTGGTTCCCACTGTGCTTTTAAACAGCTGCCACTGAGGAGTCTTTATTACAGTTTTGATAAGATTTCAAATAAATAAATAACACGGAGCCCCTCCAACACCAGCACGCACCAGCCAGGCTAAGCCTCTTCTGTCTGCTCTCATTTATTGATGTTGGGGGACATTAATGGTAGGAAAAAAAGGGGGAAGAAGCCTTGCTTTGCCAGGATTTTTTCCCCACTTCAAGACTTTTTACTGGGGTTTAAAATTCCTTTAGTTTCTTGTAAAAATGAAGCGAGAGAGATAATAGCAGAGAGGCCCTAATGGATCATTCCAGCCAATTCCCTGCCAGGGCAGATGGCTGTTGAATTATAAATAAGGGGATCAGAAGTGTGATTTTTAAAAGGACTGTACGATGTGTTAATTTGGGGGGAAAATCCTTCTATAAAGGAATCAAAAACACTGAATGAAAAATAAAAAATTAAAAAAAAAAATCAGATTCCACGGGCTGTCACAGACAACAAGGCCCATTTTAAACTATTAGCAGGACTGGTTCTTTGATATTTAAAATTGTTTCATGATGAATAATATTTTATTATTACAGATGTCAGGGTCTAATTAGGACCTGTCAGCTTTGCTTTGCTGTGAGGAATGTGAACAGTAGTAATGGCTCCACACTGGTAGTAATCACCTTCCTTTTGTTAACGAGGCAGGATGATGCACAGCCCCTGCTCCAGCTCCTCATGCCCAGCAGAGCCCCCTGAATCCATCAATTTGGGGATGGAGATTTGTTATGTTTTACAAAAAGCCCATCAGGAGCTTGGTTATGGTTCTGCAATTGGTCCTAATTATAAATGAAAAGTTTATTCTCCACCATCTCCGTGCTGTTGGATTCAGCTCCATGGCACAGCAGAGTGTCAAGGGGACAAAGGGTTTCCCAATTTATGTTACTCAACTCCAGGCACCAACCATGTGGATAAAGCCCTGAAGACCTCCCTGGGCCCAACTCTCTTAAAGAAACAGGAATTTGGTTGTAAAAAATCTCAGTCTGAAAAATATTCTCTGGGTTCTCACAACTGTTCTGCACTAAATGCACCGGGGCAAGATAAGGACTTTGCTTCTGTGTTGGCTCAATCCATGTCCCATCCCTGGAATTGTTCAAGGCTGGACAGAGCTTGGAATAACCTGGGATAGTGGGAGGTGTCCCTGCCCATGGCAGGGCATGGAATGAGATGAGCTTTAAGGTCCCTTCCAACACAAACCGTTCTGGGATTCGACTGTATGGTTCTAAATAAGTATCATTTTCTACCAGATACACATCCTGGGCTGGTCACTGATCTAGAATGATAAATTTGCATCAGACTTTCCTTAAAAATCTAATTCCCTGAGCCACACCTACCTGGCTAGGGCGCAGTCAGTCCGCTGACCTGTTAGGGAGACAAAGAAATCCAGCATTAGGAGAGAGGAGTGGGAAAATGCTTTCAACACCTCTGTAAAGCCAGTTTGGGAAGGAGATGGAGGAGAGGAACCACTGGTGACAGAGGGGGCAGCTCTGGGAGCTGGACAGTGGCTGATCCCCCCCAGGGGTGGTGCTGGAGACACCACCAAAGCCCATCCCTGCTGGCACAGCTCCAGCCAGGAAACACAGCTGCCCAGTGACTCTGTCTCTGCAAAGGATTGTTCTTCAAAACCAGCTCCCTGTGCATTCTAATTGTTGATTTCTGCCAAAAAACTGGGCTTGTCAACCTCTCCCTCCCTCCTACTTCCCGGTGGGACTGGTGAGGCAAGAGATCCTGCTTTATAAAGCCCCTCAGGAAGACTGAAAACATTCCCAGATTTGTTAGTCCACAGACTGAACGTGCTGGCATTAAGCTATTTTGAGAGACAGACAGTTTAATGGTATTTTCCACAAACATATTTATAAAAACATTCCATTAACTTGCACTGAGTTTGCAAGGAAGCAGCCAAGGCTCAGGACTTGCTAATGCAGCAGCATCTAAAACATCACAACAAGGAGGAAAACGAGGATGTGCTGCTGGGAATTGCACAGGCCAGATCCTTTGCTGCTCTAGATTATCATCAGTGAAACCACACTGATTCCCAACAGTTGAAAATCCACCTTCCCTCCAGTTGTCTTCCTGCTCCTGGGGAGATGGAAGAACGAAGGAGGGAAACAGCTAATTGCTGATGGCTGACAATTAGCTGAACACATCTTGATAGCCACTTCTCTCTCCCCACTTAAAGCCAAAACAGTGCATAATTTACATGAAAATGTTATTCTGAAGCAGAATTTCCAGCCATCTGTCCCGTTTTCATCATAGAATATTCATATATATAGAAATTACACGGCTGTGGCAACATCAAGGGGCTCCTGCATTAGGGTGACAAATGTGTACAGTAGGCAGGGACATAATTACTTGGAGATAGGAAAACTGCTGCTATTTTTATTGCTGGAACTTGTCATCTTTAGATTAAGGCAATTTGCACGACAACTAATAAATGTCACCTGAGGATGGGGGTAAAGAAGAATAAAAATTACAACAAACCCCTGAATTTTCCAGGCACTGAAGACACGCAGCCGTAGGAACATTTTTTTTTCAGTAAAGCTTCTAAACGTGCTCTGGGGACGTGTGAAAGGGATTTTATTTGCCCATTTCCCAATTAAGTGACATTTTATGGGTAGGTCTAGGCACAGTCCCCAGTTTGTCCCATTAACCTGCTCATGTGGTTTTGGAAAAGAGATGCACCTCCCTTTCTCAGCTCCTTTTGATCTCACAGATGACAGAAGGAGCTCCCCCTGACACTTTTTGGGTCCCTTCACAGAGCCACTAAGAAAGTTCTGGTTTGCAAAGCAAATGAAGGAAACAGAAGCAGCCTTTAAATCTATGTAGCAATACAGAAATCACATTTAATTTCCTCCCCTTTTCCCCCCCCACCACAGCTTGAGCTGGGTTCAGGGGGCAGGCAGGTTAAGAGGAAAGAGGTCTTGGAATGCAGAGGTCAGCTATGATCCAGGAATGTGATTAGTCACAGGGGCAGCACGGGTGTCCCTCAGAGATATTTAGAGGCAGAAAAAAAATACCCTAAGGACACAGAGCTTTGGCTTCACCCACCCCTTCTCTGGGACAGCTGAAGAGATGAACAACTTTAACCAATAAAGCTCAAACCAATGCACATCCTTGCCTTGCCTTCCAGTGGTTTGGGTCTGATAAACACCAAACTCTTTAATTACCATGGCAGTAAGTATTTTAGTTTTATAGTGCATTTTTAAACTGAAAGCAAAGCACTTCAAAGCCCACATGCTGGTTAAGTTTTCATCCACAAGATTTGCACGCCATAAACTGTGGGGAGCCCAGCTCAGTTACACATCACAACACCAGCCCTGCTCCAGCACACCAACCCAGCAACGAGTCGAGCCACTTTTTTTTTGACCTGACATTTAGACTGTTAAAACCTTCTCCTCTGCAAATACAAGGCAGTCAGGTTTCTATGGAAACTTGGATGCATAGTTTAAGTGTTTTTGGCCGACAGGATTTTGCCCATACCATGAAGGGAAAGAAATCTTCCTTTGTTCTGACACCAACAGCAAATGCATATTGAGTTCTGGCTGCTGCCCTCTAGACAGGCAACATATTTTAAATGCTCTGAAATTTGCTTGTTATTCTCCCAATAAAAGCCCAGGCTCACGTACACTGGTTTGGTTTGAACCCCCAGAGGTGAGAAGCAGCAAAACAACCAAGGAAGTGAAACTTTTGACCAGGCTCTGTCAGTACTTCTCAACTTCATCAGCAAACTGTAAATCCCAAGGTCTGCCCCGGTGCAGATCGTTAAGTGAGGAGCAGGAGGTGTGTGAATGGGGAGAGGATGGAGGAGGGGGGCACACGCTTGGCTGCAACCATCAGTGAGGCACTTTAGTGATTCATTAAGCATCTTTTGTTCATCAAGCAGCCCCGTAGGTCACTGGGCTGCTCCATCACACAGATCAGGGAGATAAATTCATAAAACATGAGTGTGGCCACTTTGCAGCACTAATGCAGGGCTGTCACACTCAGCTGACTGATGCAATAAGTGCAACAGCCTGGCTGGGAGCAGGGATGGGGGTCCCACACTCACTTTCTCCCAGGGTCTTCTGGAGAAGGTCGTGCTTGGCTTGGAGCTTCGTTATCAGGTTCCTGCCTTCCAGGTACTCCTTCATTTTCTGGGAAGGTGGGGGGGAAAAAAAAAAAGGATCATGAGTAGACAATTCACGTCTTTTTTATTGCACCTTCATGTCCCTTGATTCTGAACACAAGTACAGAATGACACTGAAATTCACAGTTAAAGGACGAGTTAAGTCCTGGTTTATCTCTCTGGGTAAGTCTGAAGTTCAGCCCATTCAAACAAAGGCTGGACTTGATCTTGGAGGTCTTTTTTTCCAACCTTAAGGACTGCCTGATTCCCTGTCTGCAGCGCAATTCCCATTGTTCCACCGTGGAATCAGCTGAATGTCTGGCATGTTTGAAGCCATCAGAGGAGCTGTCACCCATCCCTCTGCAGCCAGGGGGGGAATGGAAATGCAGCTGAATGAGCAATCTGTTCTAACCAACTAAAAGGCTGCTACTGTGCTTATTCTCTCACTTAACCTCCCTCACCCCACTTTACTTGTCAAATGCTGGGGCTGCCTCCACGCTGGATGATGCACAGGGTTGCAGGGGGGCCACGGGACAAAACAAATAAAGGGATTATTTTAAAGTTCAGATCTACTCTCTCGGTGAAATATTATACAATCAGGAAAGGGTTTATTCCCCACTGCTTCCTGATTTTTCACAGCTCTGCAAATGCTGGTTTTTCGCAGGTCTTTCATCTCTTATTTTTGCAGCTCAGAGCAGTTTTTATTTATCTTCACTGAGCTGCAGCACATAAAATACAGTAGCTGTCCATGTTGGAACCAGGACATATTTACACTGAGAAAAAACACAAACAGCACATAATTCTTCCAATATCACAGGCCATTCCTTAGAATCATGAGATTCTAAAACCATTCCGTGATATTTTAAAAATTCAGCAGGCAAAGTCAACACAAAGAGAGGATTCTCATTTAATAATGAAATGTTCTTCTTATCATTAAATCCTCAAATTATTTGGGCTGGAAGGGACCTTAAAGATCACCCAGTTCCATCCCCTGCCATGGGCAGAGACACCTTCCACTAGCCCTGAAATTCCTGTCCAACCTGGCCTTGGACACTTCCATTGGCTTTTCCCAATTCTCTCCACTTTCTCCCAGTTCTGGCCTAGGATTGCCAAATTAGACTGCAAATGTTTAAGGTAAAAAAGAGTGTTTTTAGCAACGAGAGTGCCTGGCCCCTGCTTGTCCCTTTGTAGGTCACAACAGCAGCCTCTGTGCAGGATGTAAAGGATCAAGAAGAAATATATACATAAATAAATAAAGAAATATATATATACACTGTGGCAGTACTGAGGGTAAGGGAAAACCTTCCAGGAACTAACGAAGTTTCCCCTGAGGGGTCTCCAGCCGTGCTGTGCACTGACACAACAAACAAAAATGGCTTTAATTAACTGCCAAAAGCCTGTGTTTTATGTCCCTTTGCTTGACAACATTGGAAGAAACATTTCACAAGAATTAAGTCCCTTTGGAGAGTCTCAGCATTTCCTGCTTCCTATATTAACACTTCAATTTTTTTTGGTTGTTGTTTTAGAAGAAAACAGGAAGCGTGATCACAGTGACAAAAAATTAATCACACTGCTTTTGGAATTACCCCGTAGGACCAAGCCCCAACTATATATTCTGCTCAGTCAAAAACTTTACATCAGATCTTGACAGAAGAAAACACTTAAGAGTTAAAGCTGCAAAAATAACCACAGAATCTGAGGGGAGGGGGTTGAGGATAAATCAGGTTTGGGAGGTCTCAGAGTCACGGGAGGGTGAAGGGAGAGGAAGGGCTGGAAGGCTCAGCTCAAACAGAAGCTTAAAGATCAGCAGATCAACTTGATTTGGCAGAGTTAATCTCCCCTTTGAAGCAGATCTAAGCACTTAAGCTCAGCCTAAGGTGGCTGCAGGCAGGGCAGGGCAGAGACACAGCCTTGGGAGTCCCAGTGCTCTGGCTCAGGTCATGTTAAGAGCATCACCTGCCTGGGATTGTACCAGGGAATGTTTTAAAGGAGAAAAAGAGAAGGTTCCTATTCAGTGCAGTATCTCAGGAGATTTTACTCCTATTTCCTCGTGCCTGACATTCTGTACTCTGCCTGTTGCAAGGATGCTTATGAAAAGAAAAAAAAAAAGTCATTTTAAAATAAGGCTTCGGGCTTTGTTCAGTGAATTACAAAGATGCATTAGCACTGGATTTTTGGCGTAATAAAAACAGAAAAAAATAATAATCAAGCTACAGGAGAACTCCTAAAGATCCCATTCCTGGCAGAGCACAGCTGGAGTCACACTAAGTGCAATCAGAACAAAGCAGCAGAAACATCCTCAAGTCACATTATTTCTGCACTGTGACAATTAAGAGGTGAAGATCTGTTCTGAGTCAGAGCTGGGGAGCATTTTGCACCCAGAAAACCAAGCAACTTGGACACTTCAAGCCCAAACTCACTGCAGGATTTTCCCAGGGAGAACCAGCTGTCAGGTGGGACATGGGAAGAAGTGAAATGCAAACCAACCGTACCCTGGCTATAAAGAAAACCCATTTCTGCCACTGTCCCACATCCTGATCTGCCCCCAACCCAGAAAGCTCAGCAGTTTTATCCCCTCTCTACACCCTCCAAGAACAACTTCAACCCAGGCATTTGCAGGAGAGGGGGAATTGGGTCTGAATGACCCCGGGCCCAGGGTCCCACTGACACCCCCAGCACGACGCTGCTGCAGGACTCATGGGCAGGGAGGCTTCACATCACACTTCAGCCCCGTGGCTTAAGGGTTTGCTAATAATAAATTCACATCAATTCTAAAGCACTTCACAGGATGAGCATTGTTCTGGCTCTTCATCTTCACAGAGGAAAAAAAATAACATTTCGTCCCGAGGACTAAAATTACCCCGTTTTAGAGGTAAGAGAATTAAATCATTCATCCCCTCTCCACTCCTCAGGTGGGGCCGAGTGCCAGCTGTGTTATGATTAGCAGCTCTGACAGCTCCAATTCCAGGAAACAGGTCTGTATCCATGGCAGCAGCAGCCACATCCCTGGATTTGGGCTCCCTGAAGTCGCTGCTGCTTCCCTGCTTCAGCCACCTGCATTAGCTCAGTGCTAACTCAATCACTCCCCTGCTTTCCACTCACACAGGGAAGTTTTAAGCTTCTCTTCTGAATACAAATCTCCCTTCAAAGCCCAACAACACACCCATCAGCGTGCAGGGATGTGCCTCTAGTGGAAACACAGATTATTCCAGC